CCCATTTCTCAGACTCACTTAGACTGGCATTTCTCAGTGAAAGTCTAAATCAGTCGATGTGAAAATTCATGACTGCGAGGCAGTTCTGACAACTGCAGCAGGGCAAAGACTTATGCTCAAACTATTTCAAAAAAGTATAAATTCAAGGACTCTGGCTTAAATGGCATATATATATACCCTTTGTATTTGCCACAAGACAGTGACTCATCACTTCACCCCATAATTTCCCTTTTCCATTTGCCCAAATCAGGAGAGAGGATGACTGTTTTCTTCCCAACAGAGGCTCCAGGTTTGCTGCATTCCACTCACTCTTATGTCCCCCAATACACAAATGTAAATAATTTTTACAAATGTAATTACTTCACTGGCTTTATAGCAAAATTAAAGGAACAAATCCTACAACACATTCAGTTAAAACATGCACAAACGGTTTTATGCTCTCCATTGGTTTGGATCTTTCTCGGTCATTGCATAACCTGGTTGCTGAAAGGAAAGAGTTTCCAAATGTTCTATGTACATTATCTTTATCTTTATCTGTACTAGGAGAAAAGTAAAAAAAAGTTTGGGTATTTTCTATGTAAAAAATTATAAATCTATTTTGTAGTTTCATCACAAGAAGGAAGAGCTTCAGATTATTTTTAGGCTCAAAACCAGCTGAAATGGTTGTCAACATAAACAACACTTTAAAGTTATAAAGGAAGTTGTAGGAAGCTCCAAAACATCAAAACTGACAAATTATTCATTAAAAGTCCTGGTGTGCCCTTCTGCAATCTGATCTTCATTTCAAAGCAAGAATTCAGCACTCCAAGTTAAATCTGAAAGTATTTCTGTTCATCAATCAAAGTTTCATGCTCCAAAGTCTGCTTAATATCAGCCTTCCCAAACCAGGTAGAGAAATGGCACCGTATGAATCAACTCTAAACATATGCAACAGTATCAGATGAGATGAATCAAAGTTCACAAAACATATCTGGACTTTGTACAGCTTATGCCCTGAGAATAGCTCATAGCTGAGTAAAACCAGGCTAAGTGAGAGGAACCAGCCGAACGCAGCTTCAAATAAAAACAAAACAAAACAAAAGAATTTCAGGGGGGGAAATATCATGTAAAAACCTTTACTGCTTCGTCTAGTACTACTTCTTTACTTCATAAACTTACATGTCTAGTGGAAGGAATAAAGATGACCCTGTGCTGTGTCTCCACTGTTGCAAGTGGCTTGATCCCTCCAGCAGCAACCAAACACCTTTGCCTGGTGGGAAAGGAAATTTGGGGAGAAGGCAGACTGGGCCAGTTAGAGCCTCACACCAGCAAGAGAAATTGAATCTGCCTTCCCGTAGCTCTGATATGCACCAGGCCTGAAAATGAAAGGTGCTAGAGACTTCTTGGGGCTTTTGTACCTCCTTCATTTTCGTATCTTTTTATACGCAATTTTAAAAAAAAATGCAACAGTCCTAAAATTTCAGTCTTAACCAGTGGTTAATTATTGTCTTAACCAGCGGTTCTAGAAATTTAAATGGGTCATGAATAAAATAAAAAGATGGTGAAAGATTTGACTTAGGTGTTTTAATGTAATTTGAGACCACCAGCAGGAGTTTTTCTTGTTTTCGGATTGGCTTTTAATATTTACAAAGTATTATATTCTAATATAAATATTACTATTTGTGAGTAAGACTGATTGCCTAAGACATAGGCCTGATGAGCAGCTCTGTCCATGTTACTAGCCTCATTGACTGCAAAGTCTGTTCAGATGCCTATGATTATTTCTATATGAGTAGCCCACCATTGTGAATACTGGCATCATTGTGCCTGAATACTGCAAATTGGATCTAATATGAAACAAAAGACATTGGAGAGCAATTGATCAAGTTTAGAAAAGAATGGAGAAAAAAAATTAAAAAGTATTGAAAATATTAGAAAGTATTATCTTCAAAAAGTTGAAGTATATTGATTACAAATAATGAGGTACATTTAAGAAGTCTGCTTCCAGTTCATCATTAACTTGTCATTTTAATCCACTGCAGTTTCAATTAATCAAGTAGTGAAAATGTAAACTTGAGTGCATTTGGTCAAGCAAGTATCATACTACATGTTAATTTATTTGAAATACACTGTAAGGGTGTAGAGAGAGCTATCATCCTGGGAAAAATCTTTTGGCCCACTGCCAATTACATTTGGCCCATGACATTGGCTGCTTGACAATATTAATTGTGCTATTCCCTGCCCCAAAAATAGAACAAAAATAGTGAAGCCACCTGGAAGTTAAACATACATTGCTACATTATTCTTTATCTGAACTGTATTTCTGCCAGCACCTCTGGTTTCATCATAATTTTTGTGGCATTCTGCTAATGTCACCTTCATTTTGTTTGGTTTTTATAATACTCTTTCCCAAATTTGTTTCTAGGATTCAAAGCACTCTCTGCCTTAGTTCTCTACAGCAGAAAGATCTGTAAAGAGACTGCTTACCATAACTTTCCCTTATTTCTTTTAAGAAAACATATTATTTTAAAAGTGATTAAACCTGAACTCTGAATAGCTCTTGAACTATTTGGAATTCAAATTTCAGTGTTTATTCTAATTCTGTTCAGGGGGTCTAATCCCTCATCTTAGGGCATTATGAAGGTGCCTAGACCCTTACATGAAGTTTAAAATTATTAATTCAAAGGAGTTATGGGAACTTTGACTCTTTTTTTTTTTTTTTTTTTTTTTTTTTTTTTTTTTTTTTTTTTTTTTTTTTTTTTTTTTTTTTTTTTTTTTTTTTTTTTTTTTTTTTTTTTTTTTTTTTTTTTTTTTTTTTTTTTTTTTTTTTTTTTTTTTT